TGAATATTTTTTGATGAAACCTCTGTGATTTACTATTGAAACGTTGTAGAAACTATGCACAAAATATCAAGAGTGCAGGTGTTTCCGAAATATGTTAATGAGTCCACCAAAAATGGTCAATTTGTATGAAAAATACCTAGTGGTTCCAAACTTTTGCACGGTAGTGTAGGTGCACTGGTATATCGATACATGACATGGATCGGATTGGATTCGATTGGATTGATACAATACTACTAAGTTCAATAATGAACACGAACACACAAAATCGAAATAAAAATTGTCTACTCGATTCTAGTTGGTGTAAATTGAATTCGAAAAAGTCTAAATACCTTAAAATAACCATTCTTTTGCTCATTAACGTATCCAATGCATGTAATATTTAGTTGATTGATTAGTGCCCTTAAGTAAAAAGTGCGATGAACCTTATAATATTTTTCTTGTTTTTTTTTTAATATCAAATTGGACTAGAATTTCCACAGAAAATAAATCATGTTTTACTAGATGTTCCATGGCATACGAATTGAACAGCTTGTGAAGGGAACGGCTTGAGTGTGTGTTGTATCAAATGGAAGGCATGTTCACAGGAAACCTTTTTTTCGTATACGTAAAATCAAGGCAGTTTTCTTGATCTCTCTCTCTCTCTCTCTCTCTCTCTCTCTCTCTTAATTCATCGGAACTTCGACTCTGTTTCGTTTTTATACAAGTCTCAGTCCGCAACATCTGTATTTGTCAATTTGGCATAGCTCGCGAATATACACTCACATATGAACTTGTACTGAAACTAAAAGCAAAGAAGTGTCAATAACAGTTGAAAATAATTTTTTTTGTAGCGAAACAGTAAAGCAGGGATATCCCTGGTATAACTTACCACATTCTGAACCATGCAAGGTCGTTGATCACGCATATTTTTCACAATATCCAACGGATACACTGGCTCGTTAACGTTCAGTAAGGATATGGCAGTGTCCATTAAAATTAGCATGCCTGTTCGGCCAATGCCAGCAGAACCTTAAAATTGAATAATTTTTATGATTTAAAATGAACTGATTGAATAGGATTCGAATCGAAACCGTTCATTCCAGTTACTTACAATGTACAATAATGGGAGGATTTGCAGCGCTGATGTATTGATGAACACTTGTCGGTATCCACTCATCATCGGCTTCGTCATCGATTTTCCCGCTCCGTTTGCAAATCTCCTCAGGACTAATATCACTTGCATCAGCATCCAATATTTGAAGTTGTTTGAAACGATGATCAATACTCTCGACATTTTCCTGTCGCATTTCACGCATTTTGTCAACAAAATTCATGAACAGTGTTCGATCGGACGGAACTCCATGATCAGGCCATGCCAAATACTGTAACTGACGAATCACTCGATATTCGCCCGTCTAAAATAAATGGTCAAGTTGATGGTTCAATGTCAAGAAACATTCATGTAACGCAATTTAGTCATTTTTAACGTTAAAATATGTAGAGTTTTTTGGCTTTTTTCCGTCAAAATCGACTGAAATTTCAGTGTAAACCAACTGTATGAATATTCGGAACGAGAGAAATGATAGATTTTTAATCAAAGAGAAAAGAATTCTGTGTCAATTAATAGTGTTCACCGAATGGAGCAATCGATATTCACACTTCCCGAAGCAAAAATAGCATTAGCGTATGCAATAAAATTCTATGATTTAAATTGTTCATATTTTTGTTCATGTATTGATCCAACGAGAATGAACTGAATAGTAAGAGTATATTTTCAAATTCATTTCTTCTAAATTTCAACGATTACGTTTTAAATTGTCCAGAGATGGCAGGCAAAACTAATGTCGTGCATATTCCCGCTATAAGTGTTGGTTCAATTTGAAGTTTGTTATTGTAAACAAACCGCCGTTCACAATTTCACCATGTCATGAAATATGAAACTTTGCTTCGTTCGACTAAATTCAGATTGAACAGCCAGCAACTAAAATCAAAAGGGAAAAAGGGTAACGCATTTGAATTGTTATTGTTGTGAACATCGAACGAGTGATCGAACCAAACAATGCCATCGTTTGCATGCGATTTTCCAAATGAATCGATTGTTGTGTGTTTTTTTGTTTGTTTACAGTTTTGATCCGTAGCCTGTGGAAGAAATCTGCTGTCGAAATATTATTTGGAAATGAAGCTACTGGTGACAACGACATCGTGAGCGTTTCGATATTTTATCACGGTGTGCGGTGTTTGTGTCACAACCAAATTCAGCATTGATGTGTCAAATCAAAGCCGGTTGATTCATTTTCGTTCCAACATTTGAAAAGGCAAGTGCAATTTGTTGTAAATATTGTTCGATTCGAGTGATTGGTTTTTTTCTTCTTTGTTGTTGAGTAATTTAGTTGTAATGATTTTAGTTTAGGTAGAAAATACATAATATCGGATTAGTTTTCCTCATTTTGATTTTTCTCGTTTGGTGGTGATTGTACATAAAGTGGCTAACATTTTAACGTGCTTACGATTTGTGTTCCGAACTAGGGGAATCACTCACTTTCCAAATGGTGTGAATCTTATGAATATTTCTGAATCTTTTGCTCTTTGAAATCCAAGATGGCGACAGAACTGTCAAATTAGGATGCATTTAATTCACTCAGATTCACAATATTTGTCCGTATTCATCACGATTGATTTACAGTTTAATGGTGAATCTGTGTGAATCTTTTGGTTTTAAATGTATGTATGTAAGAGTTTGTTTGAATTTGAAAAAAGGCATGAAACATACAAGCTGCATTGAATGATAAATTCCCCTAGGTTCCGAAAACAATCAATCCAATTGTTTAAATGTCGAACAAATTACGACCTGCTTATAAAAATGCACATATAATATGATGAAATTTGCTCTTTTTTGTGAATCATAACGACGTATCAATTTGTATCGTTGTTTTTTGTGTCGCAGATGTCGGGAAGAAATAAACGAACAATTGGACGAGATGCATCAGCGAAGAAACTTACAAGAGAAATCCGGCACAGTGGTGGAAACACGTGTTCAACATGAAGAAAATCAACAAAATCGGCGGCAGAAAAATGAAATTCGATTGCTCGATTCTCACCGATAGTGTTTTCGTTTCGCTCATGTACATCAAATCGAACCGTACGCCGGATGCGAAGGATTTGAAGACAATTGAGGATATGTACCGTGAAGGATGATTCGTGTATGAGCTTGGAATTGACCCTGGCGTTCGAACATGGAACGTGGCATTTCATTGCTTTTTCATTTCAGGAAAACATCACGATTGCTGGTCCAACGTATCATTGGAGGGCGAAACGATCAAAGCGTAGGCAGAAAGAAGAACGATGGCAGAGGACATTCAAGGAGCAACAGCAACGCGACCTTCAGTCATATCCAGTGGTCCCATCGCCAAAGTCAAAGGATGCATGGAAGAGCTACATTTGTCATCGGTTGACTATGATGGCACTGGGAATTGCTGTGTTTGGAAGGCGCAAGTACGCTCGCCTCAGTTTCGACAAATACGTGGAGTCAACTCGAGCCAGCGACAAAATAGCCGCATCGTTAACGAACAAAAAGCCATCAATGATTTACTTGGGCGCAGCACAAATGGCACCGAACTCACCGATTGGAATCAAAAGACGATTTTATGCCCCGGCACAAGAAAATCATGCACAATTGGACTACGCCCGAATTTCACTCATTTTCGACGGAAAAAATGATTGTGTCTATGGTCAAACGTAACCCCAGATTCAACCCTAAACATATACCCGGGTTCGGATATATTTCATTTAGTGAATGTGAATTGCTATGCACCTCCGATATCTGGTCAAGTGAATATCGTGTTAGAGCTTTTGAAAAAACACGTAATCGAAGTAATGTTCATGGGCGAAAACACAATGACTACCGTCGTACAACAGCCAAGTCAACTTCAAACTCACGACATTTCAATAGATTCAACAACAACAGTAACAAACATCACACCAGACACAACCGGAACAATAACAACAACAATAACAATCAGCGTCGGGACATGAATAACCAACACAGACGCCGACGTGAGGATCGATCGAATGAATTTGGCTACCATAATCGAAATCGTAATAACCACAACGGTCGATATAATTATGAACCTCGCCATCGTGTAGATCACATGCACAATGGACAATTGCCACAGACCAATATGGTACCTCCTTTTTGGTACCAAACGCCATATTTCTACCCTCCACCTCAGCAACAGGTTCATTCTCGACCAACTATGCCACTACTCCATCCGCACTATACACACGCACCACATCAAAACTTCCAACCGTTAAACGTTCAAAATCACAATGGAATGTAAGTCATACAATGTTTGATGAC